CATTTAGCATTTATTTATTTCTCAAATTCTTTACTTTTTGTTTCATTCTTGTTGGTTCTGTTTGACTAAAACATTGTTCTGACCCAGTAACCGGTTCTGAAGCAGCAGTTCTGAAGCAGCGCCCCTCTATGGGAACAAATATTAGTCTTATGTATTTTGTACTCATAAATCAGACTTTGTACTTGTAGATTAAGATTTGTAACTTTTGGATATGGAAATGGGAACATGTGTGTGTAAAATAGAGTTGTATCTGTAAAAATAAAATTTGTATCTGTAAAAATAAGATTTGTATTTGTAAAAATTAAATTTGTATTTGTAAAAATAAGATTTGTATTTGTAAAAAATATTTACACAAGTTAGTCTTTTTTGTTAAGGTCTGTTTACAGGTACAAAGCAAAAAACTGCATGTAAATCTCTCTGCTCAAGTTCAAAACTTGCATGAGTTTCACTTTACAAGTATGAATTCTGACCCCGTTTCTCTGCCTCCAGCTGATTGGTCAATGTCTTGTCAATCATAGATTTAACATCCAATCAGAGAACAGATGGGTTCGGCTGTTGTGCCTGCACTTCTACTCAGATATATAACTGTGTTGTGTTGCTATTGGATCATTTCAGTCACGTGACCCCCGCTACAGCCCCGTCCAGGGAAACTGTTCATTTTTCTTATGTACTTCATTCACTCATCCATGGAAGGAAAAACAAAAATATGAGGAATAATAGGAGGAATGATGTGGACTTCTTCTGCCTGGCACCTTTTTTTAAACTTCCACTTGCAGGTAAAGAAAAAGTACTTATTTCTTATATCTTTATTTTTTAGCGTATATTTGTTTCCGGTTTATCTTGTTCCCTCCGCTCCTAGCTTAATGTCATGAGCACATGTCAGCTGAAACTGAAGCACAGGGTAAGATGTGTGAAATGAGATAGCATGCTAGCAAGAGAAGATGATTTCCAACATTAAATCAGCACACTTGGAAGGCAGGAGGTATGAAAATGTGCAGCTTATGTTTGTTTTTATGAGAGTAATTATTTTTATTTGAAGATTGGGAAAAATGTTATTTTATTTGTAAAGGTTGAAGCTACAGGTGTCATCAGGTAATAAGCAGTATTTATATTTTATGAATGTTAATTTATTTGTTTAAGATATTGTTTCACATTTATTATAAAAAGCCTGTTTCAGCTGAGATTTTATTGTTTGCTTGGTAAATTTATTTAGAGTTTATGAATAGGTGTGATGTGTGTTGGCTGATCAGCTGCAGCTCATCTCCCTCCTCATCAGCACTGGGTTTTAAAAGCCTGCTCCAATCATCTGATCTTTGCTGGATCACATGATCTGTTTGTTCTGCTTCCAGAGAACTGTTTCCCTGTTTGAAGTTTACACTTCTGTTTGTTTTACTCATCTCCAGTATCTCCTCCTGTTTCTCTGAAGTTCCTCTCGTGGGTCAGCACCAGTAAAGAGAGACACTCAGCCGAATTCTGGATTCCTGCTCCCTCTCGAGATCTGCTACAGTAAATATACTGTAGACAGTCACCTGGATGCTCACCTTCCTGTGAACCTGGCCCCTCAGCTGCTACACTGTAACCTGCTTCGAAACGCTCCTCTCAGTCATCACCAGACCAGATCTTTCCCCTCGGTTGTAAATAAATATATATTCTACTTTACTCAGTCTCCATGAGTTTGTTTTCCTCTCCTACTGTTAAAAACATTGACATCCTCCCTGAGTTTCTGATACTTTATTAGTGAACGCAAACACCTGAATTCTGTTTCAGAGCTTAAGT